TTTCTGTTTCTCCACATCCTTGCCAACACTTGTGATTTGTAGATTAATTAATGATAGCCATCCTGACAGGTGTGAAGTGATACCTCATTGTGTTTTTAATTTGCATTTCTCTGATGATTAGTGATACTGAGCACCTTTTCATATGTCTATTGGCCATCTGTATGTCCTCTTTGGAGAAGTGTCTATTTAGGTCCTTTGCCCATTTTTCAATTGGACTGTTTGTTTTTGGGGGGTGTTGAGTTGTATAAGTTCATTACAAATTTAGATATTAGATGTATCGGCAAATATGTTCTTCCATTCAGTTAAATGTCTTTTCATTTTGTTTATTATTTCCTTTGCTGTGGAAAGCCTTTTTTAGTTTGATGTAGTCCCATTTGTTTATTTTTTCTTTTATTTCCCTTGTCCAAGGAGAAATATCAGAAAGAAATTGCTAAGAGAAATGTTAGAGATTTTACTGCCTATGTTTACTCCTGGGATTTTTATGATCTTGAGTCTTACATTTAAGTCTTTAATCCATTTTGAGTTTATTCTTGTGGGTGGAGTAAGAAGGCAATCTAGTTTTATTTATTTATTTTTTTGCAGATATCTGTCCAATTTCCCCAACACTATTCATTGACTAGACTGTGTTTATTGCATTGTACAATATGTTATTGTACCCTTTATCAAATATTAACTAACCATGAAGTCATAGATTTTATTCTGGAATCTCTATTCTGTTTCTTTGATCTGTATGTCTGTTTTTATCCCAGTACCATGACGTTTTGATTACTATGGCCTTGTAGTATAGTTTGATATCAGATAGAGTGATACCTCCAATTTCATTCTCCTTTCTCAAGACTGCTGAGAATATTCAGAGTCTTTTGTGGTTCTATATACATATTTGGAATATTTTTTCTAGTTCTGTGAAATGTACCATTGGTATTTTGATTAGGTGTAAGTTAAATCTATAAATTGCTGTGGGTAGTATGAACATTTTAATGATGTTAATGTTTTCTATTCATGAACACAATATATGCTTCCATTTATTTGTATCTTTTTCATTTTTTCCTCAGTATCTTATAATTTTCTGAGTATAGGTCTTTTATCTCCTTTGTTAGGTTTATTCTCAAATACTTTATTTTTTGTTGTTGTTGCAAATGAAAATGAGATCGTTTTCTTAGTTTCCCTTTCTGATGGTTCATTATTGGTGTATAAATATGCCACTGATTTCTAAATATTAATTTTGTATCTTTCTACTTTACTGAATTCATTTATCAGTTCTAGAAGTTTTTTGGTGGAGTGTTTAGGATTTTCTATATATGGTAATATATTGCCAGCAAATAATGACAGTTTTACTTTTTTATTTCCAACTTGGATGCCTTTTATTTCTTTTTCTTATCTGATTGCAATGGCCTAACTTTTAGCACTCTGTTGAATAAGAGTGGGGAAAGCAGATGTCCTTTTCTTGCTCCTGATCATAGGGAAATGCTTATAGTTTTTGCCCATTGAGTATGATACTGGCAGTGGGTTTGTCATATATGGCCTTTATTATGTTGATGTATGTTCCCTCTATTCCTTCTTTGCTGAGAGTTTTTATCATAAATAAGTGCTGGAATTTATCAAATGCCTTTTTTGCATCTTTTGATACAATCATGTGATTTTATTCTTTATTTTATATATGTGGTATAGCACGTGTATTGATATGCAGATATTGTGTCAACCTTGATCCCAGAATAAATTCCACTTGATCATGGTGTATGACATTTTTAATGTATTGCTGGATCTGGTTTGCTGATATTTTGTTGAGGATTTTTGCATCTATGCCCATCATGGGTACTGGCCCATAATTTTCTTTCTCTGTAGTGTCTTTATCTAGTTTTGCAATTAGAATAATGCTGATCTCATAAAATGAGCTTGGAAGTCTTTCCTCTTCTTGAATATTTTTGGAATAGTTTGAGAAGGATAGATGTTCTTTGAGTGTTTGGTAAAATTTGCTTGTGAAGCCATCTAGTCCAGGACATTTATTTGCTGGGTTTTTAAAATTATTATTATTATTATTATTATTATTGCTTTGATTTAATTAGTTGTAATTGGTCTATTTCAGTTTTCTGATTTTCCTGATTCAGTTTTGGAAAACTGTATGTTTCTAGTAATTTATCTATTTCATCTAGGTTGTCCAGTTTTTTTGGCATATAGTTGTTCATAAATTTTCTTATAATCCTTTGTTATATCTGTGGTGTCAGTTGTTACTTCTCCTCTTTCATTTCTGATTTTATTTATTTAAGCACTCTCTCTTCTCTTCTTTCTGAGTCTGGTTAAATGTTGTCTCTCTTGTTTATCTTTTCAAAAAATCAGCTCTTGGTTTCACTGAACTTTTGTATGCCTTTAATTTTTACCTTTATTTCCACCCTAATCTGTATTATTTCCTTCCTTCTGCTTACTTTGGTTTGTTTGTTTTTTTTTTTTTTTTTGGTTGATATGTTCTACAACCATTAGATGTAAAGTTAAATTTTTTATTTGAGATTTTTCTTGCCTATTGAGGAAGGCCTGTAATGCCATGAATTTCCCTCTTTAGACTGCTTTCAGTGTGTCCTATAACTTTTGTGTTGTTCTGTGTTCATTTTCATTCGTCTCAGGGTAACTTGATTTATTCTTTTATTTCATTGTCCACCCATTCATAGTTTAGTAATATGTTATTTAGCCTCCATGTCTTTGTATGTTTTCAGTTTTTTTCTTGAAATTGATTTCTAGTTTCATAACATTGTGGTCGGAGAAGATGCTTGACATGATTTCAATTCTCTTAAATTCATTGTCTTGTTTTGTGTCTTAAAATGTGGTCTATCCTAGAGGATGTTTCAGGTGCACTTGAAAGGACGGTATATTCTGCTGCTTTGGGATGAAATGCTCTGTAAATATCATTTAAGTAGATCTTGTCTAGTGTGACATTTAAGGCAGCTGTTTCCTTGTTGATTCTTTTGTCTGGAAAATCTATCCACTGATGTCAATGGGGTGTTAAAATCCCCTCCTACAACTGTTTTACTATAAATCATCCCCTTGACATACATCAAGATTTTCTTTATATATTTAGGTGTTCTTATTTTGGGTGCATAAATGCTTACTAGGGTTACATCCTCTTGTTGGATTGATCCCTTTACCATTATGTAATGTCCTTTTTTGTCTCTTACTACAGCTTTGTTTTAAAGTCTATTTTGTCAGAAATAAGTACTGCTCCACCAGGTTTTTTCCCTTTCCATTTGCATGGAGTATCTTTTCCATCCTTTTACTTTTAGTCTGTGTGTACCTTTTGTTCTGAGGTGGGCCTTTTGTAGACAGCGTATATATTGGTCTTGTTTTCTTAGCTATTCAGCTGCCCTATGTCTTGATTGTAGCATTTATGCCATTTACATTTAAAGTAGTTATTGATGGGTGCTTGTTTATTGCCATTTTATTTTTTAGACCTATGTTCCCCTCTCCCTTTCTCTCTTTGTTTTTTTTTTTCTTCTGTTGTTGGACTATTTGTTGGAAGGTAATAACCTCCTTTAGTGGGTTTCTGCCCCCTGCCGGGAAACTCTTTATTTCAGCGTCAATTTTAAATGATAGCCTTTCTGGGTAGAGTAGTCTTGGCTGTATGTGCTTGCTTTTCATCACTTTGAATATTTAATGCCATTTTTTTCTGGCCTGAAGTATTTCTGTTGAGAAATCAGTGTTGACATCTTTATGGGAGCTCCCTTGTGGGCAACTGTCTGTTTCTTGCCGCTCTTAAGATTCTCTCTTTACCTTTACCCTTTGCATTTTAATAATGGTGTATAAAAAAAGCTTTGACACTTTTTTGTGTGTTATATTTCTGTCAGAGGACTTGATTCTCCAAGGTGAACTCTGAAGTAAAATCCCAATATATGGAACAGGTCATAATTAATCGGGAGGGCCAGGGGCACAGCACTTTGTCTGCATGTCCTCTCCTGAGCCCCAGGATCCCCCTGTTTTCCCAAAGACTTAACAATTTAAAACAGTGTTCACTTACTATCTCCAAACTTTGGTGGGTCAGGAGTCCATACACAGCTTAAATGCATCTTCTGCTCAGGGTCTCAAATATCTGCACTCAGGGTGTCAGCTGGCTGCATTCTTATCTGAACTAGGGAGGAACCCACTTTCGAACTCATTCAGGTGGTCAACAGAAATCATTTCCTTGCTGCAGTTAAGACTCAGAGCCCCAGCTTCTCACAGGCTCATCCTCCCTCCTAAAGGCAGCCCACACTTTCCTGCTATGTGGCCCTCCCCATGGCATTCACAGCACCCTGTGTTCGCTTCTTCAAGCCAGCAGGAAAGTCTCACACTCCAGTCGGCTAAGGTGGAATCTTATGTAACATAGTATATTTATGGGCGTGGCATCCCATCACCTTTGCCATATTAGATGCGAGTTACAGGTGCTACCTGCAGTCTGCCTACGTGAAGGCGTGGACTCCACAAGTGGAATCTTTGGAGGTCACCCAAGAGAGCGTTCACCACTCTCCCCATCCGGGTGAAGTCCCTGTCTGCCTTATGTGTACAGCTCTGTGTCATCGCACTGCTGTACAACCCTATACTCTGCATAGTCCTTGCTCGTCTGTCTCCACCTCTAGATAGTTCATGGCAGAGACGTTGCCTTGTTCATCTTTGTTGTATCCTTTTGCACACAGCATAAAACTTGGCACTTAGTTGATCTCAGTGAACTTTTTAGAAACAGTTTTATTGAGGTATAATCATTCAGTGAACTTCCAGTAAGTGCCTAAAGTTAAACATAGAGCTAACATATTGTAAATTTTAAAGCACTTGCTAATAATTCTTAAAGGAGTAGCCTAATTGATTAATATACTTGAAATTGTACCAACTCTTCTTTTAAGCAATAATTGATAAAACTGAATTAGAAGATAAAATAATATTACAGTTACTTCTGGCGCTGTATAACTATGACTATGAATTTTTTGCATGATATAACTTCATGTCATACTGTATTATCTCATAAGATTTTTCTTTCCTTCTAGATGAGCAAGAGATTGTACAAAAACGCACTTTCACCAAATGGATCAACTCTCATCTGGCCAAGGTAAAGGAAACTACCCAGAGTTCTGGGCTTACTTAGTTTGAGCCCATAAATCATTAAGCACACAGCATAAAGGAATGGTTCTTTCTCCATGGTCACAATTACTCATCAGCGATGTTGTCAGTCCTATCAGTTTAACTGTCGCCTACACACAGCATTAGCTCACAACCCCTCTGGGGAAAAATGAACGGATAGCCAGAGTCAAGAGTGGTTACATCATGTCATTTCCAGGAATCTTGATGAAATATTCATCCAGTCATTTCTTCTGTACTTACGTGTATGCCATATGGAAAGGACAGTTGGTGCTGGATTTTCATTGTCGTGTTTGTTTAGATTGAGAACAGAAAGAAGGAAGGAGTGATCTGCCCTGAGCAAAGAATTTTACCTGAGGAGTTCAAAACAGTGGCTTGTCTCCCCTCACAGGTGTTTTGATAGAAAAGTAAATGTGATGCCAAGACACTAAAAAGACTAATCATTCTGAGATTGACAGTGACATTAGTTTGTATCAGTGACTGTATTTGTATATTGTGATGACCTTGAACATAAAAATGAATGTAAAACAAATTCTAATATAGCTATATTACAATAAAAGTAAGCTCTTATAATTGTGATGAAAAAATATGCAAGCCAAAAAAAACATTGCATTTGTACAGATAAATACTGAATACAAGACAATTGTCTGATTTCAGTTAGAGGATCCTTTTGCTGAGACCATGTGGGAGGTTTTTGATAAAGGGCTTCCCCAAAGTCTCTTATAGTTCAGAAGCAAACAAAACAAGAAAATGTATTTTAGTCCCATTGTACAAATTAACTGCTTACTGTGTATCCATAAGAGGCTTTGGGGACAGAAAGAAAACGATATTAAGGCATTTTCCCAGGGCTTGAAAAGCTCACAATCCAGCTAAAACTGAAGACTAGAATGATGTGTCTGTATGCAGGATGAACTGGGATTATCTCTCCTATAATCTCCTCCCGAAAGTGAGTTGATGATGAGAAGGGAATTCTCTGGGTGAGAGGCTGCAGCGGATTCTGCCCTGTGGAAAGGCAGGAAGTGCCTCTCATTTCTGTCTTGGCTGGTGCCAGCCAGCAATCACTTACACTATAGAACTGTCATCCACTGGGAAGGTTATTATTTCATTTTTTCTCTTTTTTTAGATTTTATTTATTAATTTTTAGAGAGGGGAAGGGAGGGAGAAAGAGAGGAAGAGAAACATCAGTGTGTAGTTGCCTCTTGTGCTCCCCCCATCAAGGACCTGGCCCACAACCCAGGCACAAGTGCTGACTGGGAATCGAACCTGTGACCCTTTGGTTCACAGGCTGGCACTCAATCCACTGAGCCTCACCAGCCAGGGATATTTTTTTCTAAAATGAAAATAGAATTTTTTTTTCATATTGTTAAAAGATTACATGCTAATTGTCAACAATAGTAACAATAAACTTCTTATAAGTGTAAAGAAAGTAAAAATGACCTTAAATCTCACAGGTCTGATGCATTCATCACTAACATATTAATTGCCACTTTTCTACACATAGACACGAAATTTCACAAAAATGGTTTTATACGATAAGGATCTGTGTGCCTCTATTTCACACAGCAAATCTCTCCATGACAATAGTTACAGAGCTGCGCAGTCATTTTAGGGGATGAATGATTTCTGTTGTAAATATAATAAAATTATTTATGTCATAAATTACTCACCAGCTTACAGATGGGCATTTATGTGGTTTCCAATTGTTTGGTATTATATAAGACACCACCTTGAAAGTCCTTGAGCCTACATCTTTGCATACTTGTGTGATTTTTTTTATTATCGATTTCTAGAAGTGAGTGGCTAGTCCATAGATACATTTTTAATTTAATAGGTACCAAGAGCTTAGGTGAATGCCCATTCCTTACACCATAACTCATTTTAAAGTTAATAGTGATTTCTAATCCAATTGGTGAAAATAACTTATAGTTAATTTTTTATTTAAAAGAATAGTTTGAGTACCTTTGTGGAAGGTTTTAAAGTGAAATTCTCCGGACGCACTTCTCCCATGTACCGCACACTCGAAAAGAAGGACGATCTGAGTGTGCGCCATGGCACACAGCGCGCCAGGGGCCTTTGCGGAGCAACGATCTTCCCAGAGTCTGTTTTCAAGTCTGTTTTGCAACTCTGCTTTGTTATTGTTTCACGCTACGTAGTTATGTGATAGCTGGCTGTGGGAATGGGCTTTGCAAATGTGTGTATTTTTTCTGTGCTCTCCCAGCCCTGCTTGGTGACCTCGCCCCGCGACTTCCCATCTAAATGCCCAGCCCTACCTTTCCTGTGTAGTGCAAGCCTCTCTCATTCATGAAGTCCCTTCTGACCCCGTGTGACACTCTGTGCCTGTCCTCTGGCAAATGCTCCAGGAGTGTCAGCCGCCCATCCCCCTGCAGCCATCCTTCAGGGCCATCCCCCACCTTCTCTGGTTTTCCTGCCTCGGGTGCTGTTTGTAGAACCTGACATCTCGGCACTTGCCCAGAACCTGTAGCACAGGTGAGGTTCAGTCTGTCTCTGGACTGTTCCCCATCTCAGCTCCCGATAACACTGCAAAGTCTATAATAAGGCATGTGCTAATTCTTGGAATTTCTTTATAAATCCTAGCAGCTCTAAGCACAGTGCTGAGTACCACAGAGAGGTGTTTGATAAAAAATAACAGCAAAGACTCTATACATTTTCTTATTTTGTTGTAATAGTAAAGACATCACTGAGGGGGAAAAAGTAATGATGAACTTCTGGCATTGTGATAAGTGCTTAACGCTGGCTATTTTATAGCACTTGTCTTCCTAAGTTGTTGCCACTGAGGTTTTAATCCAGACATGAATCTAAAGTCCACATGATTTCCCTGCTTTGCACATTTTTGCATCTATAGTATTATTTTGAAAGACTCAGGAGAATTATTATCTCCACAACTGCTCCTTTATAACCATAATGTGGTAGATCATTTTTATTCTGTTTCTCCAGTGTACTTGTGATGTTTTTCTTTCCTTGGGTCATCTCAAACACTGAAAGCAGAAGCAGAAAAATTAGACCTATACTTGTTATCCTGAATTTATTTATATTAAGCAGGTAGTGTCTTCCCAAACATAAAACCCACAAGTTCATTGGAGAATGTTTTCCTTTTCCTACTCACTTACATTTCAAAAACATTTGCAGAACCTCATCGGACACCATTATCCTCCCTTGGCTGTTGAGAGTTTTAGGACAGCTGTGGAGTAGATGTTTATGTCTTCAGCAGTTGATCGCGTGGTCCCCTGTACATCCCTCTCTCTTTCCCGGCCTTTGACTGCCTTCATCCCCCTGTGCGTTTCTATTTCCAGCCCCATTTCTTTCCCATTCTCCCACCCTGCTCTCCCACATAGGTACCATCTCTCACTCCCCCACTCTGTCTCCTCCTCTGTTAGAAGACTACCCAGCATTCTGTCTCTATCTCAATCTCCCCATCCCCATTTTTGTCATTTTCATCTCTATTTCTGTGTGTACGCTGTCACGATAAAAGCGCGTGTGCATTCTAGGCTTCCTAGTCTCACCGAGGTCACAGTTCCAGACACACCCAAATTACCATGGAAACACATTCCCTTCCCATTGCCTTGTGCTCACTTTGGAGAATCATGGCATCTCACCCGCGACAGAAGAAAGGTCAGTTTCCCATCTCTGATTCAGCCTCTCAATCAAGACATGGGGTCACCTTTTCTGCTGTCTCTGAGAGAAGGCTGGCTCCCAAAGCAATTCTGTGAAGCTAGAGGGTGCTTGGTCCCATCGTGCTAACACCCTGTGGACGTGACAATGAGCACATGTGTGCACACATATGCACACACACACCCTCAGTCAGCTGGAGTCCACAGAAGCGTATGTCATACCGAGTCTCACTAAGTCTCTCATGAAAACAGCTTCTTAAACGTTTGGTCCGTGGCTCCTGGTCACCCTTCAGCAACACACTGATATCTCCCCCGACCACAGGTGTTTGCTCACAGAGCACACCAAAGCCATACTTAGAATAAAAATAGTTCTGACAAAAAGTAATCCACACAAAAAAAACACAACTTAACCTGTTCCCAGGTCTTTCCTCCAAATTTTTTTTTATTTTATTCATTTATTTCTAGTGAGAGGGAAAGGAAGGGAGAACGAGAAGGGGAGAAGCATCAGTGTGCTAGAGAAACATCCATCAGTTGCCTCTCGCACATGCACACTCCCAGCCAGGCACCTGGCCCACAACCAAGGTATGCGCCAGGACCAGGAATCAAACCGGTGACCTTTCGGTCTACAGGATGATGCCCAACCCCCTGAGCCACACTGGTCAGGGCCTCTGGAGGTTCTTGAAACCAACTTTTCCTTTTTTTTCCTTATTAAATAACCAAAGCCAATGGTGGGTCAGATTAAGCTTGGTTTGGTGTATTGTTTGTTTGTTTACTTTGTCCAGTGAATACTTAACCAATCTATAAGCAGTATTAGTCAGCTTGGGCTGCTGTAACAAAATATCATTGTCTGGGGCACTTAAACAACAAACATTTATTTCTCACAGTTTGAGAGGCTACAGGTCCAAAATTAAAGTGCCAACTGGTTTGCTTCCTGGTTCCTGGTGAGGGCCCTCTCCCTGGCTAGGTCTTCACATGGGAGAGAGAAGGAGAGAGGGAGGGAGAGAGAGAGAGAGAGAGAGAGAGAGAGAGAGAGAGGGAGAGGGAGAGAGAGAGAGAGAGAAGGAAGGAACTCTGGTCTCTCTTCCTCCTCTTATATCCTGATGTGGGGCATCACCTCACAAGCTCATCAACACCTAATTACTTCCCAAGGCCTCCCTTCCAAATATCACCACATTGGGGTTAAGACTTCAACATTTGGATGCAGGGGGGTACACAGTCAGTACATAACAGGCCCAAGTTCATTAAGTCTGGCTTGAAGTACATAAGAACTAGTTACAAACCTGCAGATAAACACAGGTACTCTGTGCCAAGTTGAGGTAGTAATGCACTTCTCTTTCATAGC